AAATCTCTCCATCGGGTTTCGTCTCTGTTGTTCCTTCCATAGGACTGACTTTGACCAATTTGTCTTTAAGTGTAACTACTTTGGACAAAATAGATTCAAGCAGAGGCCCGCTGGTTGACAGTGGCATTTCTTTGGTTAACATTATAGCTGAGGCCTTTCCTTCTTTCCGTTTCTGTTCTGCTTGTTTCATGTTTTGATCTTTTACAGTGACTGCCCTCAACTGAAAACTAGCAAAGTCTTCTATGTTTTCTACAGCCTGTTCTTTTTGTTTTGATGGTGGCATTTTCTTTTTATAAACCTCTTTTGGTTTTTGTAATTTCTCAGTTAGTCCTACACCTTCACTAATATGTTCGCCAGTTAGAGTGAATTTTTCAGAAATGTCTTCCTCCATTAATTCCTTATCTGTGATGTGTTTTTCCTGAGTTGGATCCTTTATATCTGGTCTCTTGTCTAATGTCTTTTTCAAAGTATCAACTTTGTTATTTTGTATTTCTTTCTCTGAGTGAATTTCTTCAACCTTATTTTTATACCTATGTGATACATTTTCCAAAGGTTTGTCCTCTGCAGTTTCCAATGCACTTTTTTTGGATCGTGAATCTCTCTCTTGTCTGATTGGTTTCTTAGAAAATGTTTTCTGTTTGGCAGCCTTGGGTTTTCCAGTCATTTCTGCCTTTAACTGCATGTTCTCAGTAGTACACAGCTGTTCCTCTTCTTCCTCAGATTCTATGATTCCAGGTTTGGAAGATATCATTTTGCTTGGTTTAACACGCTCTGAAGAATCGGTTTCTTGTATCTTTGAGGCCACTTCAATATTTTCAGCCTCTAAAGGTTTGTCTTCTACGTCATCTTCCTTTAATATGCACTGGAGACCGGCCTTTTCTAAAGGCTTACTGTCTGTCATACTGGTTAACTCAGGTTTTCTAACTGATAATTTAGGTTTATCTTTGAGCCCTTGTGTGAAAATATCTTCCTTCTCTTCAGAATCAGCCTTAAAAGTCACATATTGAGGTCCCACCACCTGTTTTTGATCAGGAACACCTTTAACACAAACTGACTCTGGACTCTCAACTTTTCTTTGACTACTTTGAGAAGCTTCCTTATGCTCTTTAGTATCTTTTTTAATGTCTTTTATTTCTATACCTGCTGTTGGAGAATCAGTATTTTGGACAGAAAACTCTTCAACTTGAGATTTTTGTTCAGTAAGTTTGTCCTGAACTGCCACAACTTTTTTCTTCTTGGACACATTTCCTGTCATGACCTTTTCTTTAGTTTTTGGGGTGAGTCTCATTTTAAGGCCCTGTGTCTTTAAACCATCAGTAACAGATATGTCATCACTTATTTCAGACACTTCATCAGGTTCTTGCATCATACTTAAAATCCCTTGTTGCACAGATCTAATACTTTTGCCCAGAATTTCTTCTTTATCCTTGTCGTGCATTTTAGCTTTTTCTTCAACTTCTTCTCTTTCTATGATATTCTCTGCAGAGGACACTTCCTCTGACATGAAATGTTTCGGGATTTTCTGAGATCCTTCTCTTTTCTCAGCCTTTAAAAGGCCAGAGATGGCCTCTTGAGGATGGAAGAGTTTAAGAGGTGTGAAGACAAAGCACCATGTGGCGGTGCCAAGAGATTAGGAAAAAGAACACAAAAACACAGACACAAACATTTGGAGTTAAACAAGACAAACAAAGAGCATAGAGATAATAAGAAAGTAGTAAGAGCTGACAATCAAGGACAAGACAATATGGTGTCGTTGTACCTCTTTCTGGTGTTTTTCCTTTTATCTCAGCTTGTGTTTCAGGAGACAAAGTAGTACCAGTGGTTGAGGGAATGGTCTCAGCCTTGGCCTCTGGTTCTTTAAAGATAATCAGTTTTTGTTTAATATAAGATATTAATATTTAAGAGAGGAAAACAAAGGAAGAAAGACAGACTTCAAACCACTAAGAGATAAAAAAAAAGGACCTTTTAAAAAAAAGAGTACAAAAACAAACCAATAGAATAGTGTTGTAGGGAACACAATCAACAGGAAAATGTGACATGGAGAGACATTCACAAATGAGGTGAAAAGAGATGAACTGTGGTTGATGGTGGACTGAGGTTGAAATGATGAATATGGGTGGTTGACCAAGGTTTGGATAAAAAAGAGCAAAGACTGCACCCAAACACAGAGACATGGAAAAGTTAAAGATGAAGATGATCATGTTAGATTTGAACTCTATATACCTCTGGCAGCTGTTTGTGGGGAAATCCTTTTCTTCTCTGGTTTTGAAGGGACTGAAGGTTTTGTATCTTCTTTTATCTTTTCAGTATCAACTCTCTGAGGACGGATATCTTTGGATTCCTCTTTTTTCTTATGTTCTGCTTCAGCTTTTGTCTCAGTCTCCTGTTTGATCACTTTTGGCGTCTCAAGGTCGATATCTGTTACTGATTCTTTTGGTTTGGGGGTCACCTCTGCTTCAGGTTTTGGTTTTTCAGCTACTTTCCCCATTTTTGTCTCATCAGATTTTACCTTCTTCTCTCGCTTCTGTTCAGCTAGCTCATGTTTCTTTACTGACACACTGGTCTCATCTTTTCTGGAGTCGGAAATGTCAGACTGTTTAATTCGAGTTCCGTCCTTTCTACCAGGGGTAACTTTTGTTGGTTTGTCTTCAACTTTGACTTTTGTCCGCTCAATTGTAATTTCTGTAATTTCCTCAGCTCTACTGTATTCTTCCTCTGGAGAAGCTGATATTATCTCTACATCATGATCAAATGAGTCCTCGTATGTGACCTCTTTCTCACTTTTCAACCTTTTCAATTCTGTGCTAATTATAGTTGGGGAAGGTTTGGTTGTATCTTTCACTGATTCTATTTCCTCAGTTTTGTCTACTTTGCGTCTCTCTCTGCTTTCTGTTTTGATGCTCATCTCCCTTCCCTTTTTGACTGTCACACTAGTTTCTTGCGTAGAAATGACCTTGTCTGGCAGGTGTCTGACTGATGTGCTGTCTTTCCTCTCGTCTGTAATCTCCTCTGTTGGTGACTCCATTGTCCTGACAAAAAACTCCCCCTCAGTTTTTTCATCCTGCGATGTTGTGACCTCTCGATCTTTGTCCGATTCTCTTTTCTGGACTGTAACTATAGTTTCTTGTGTTTTCGGGACAACCCTTTTTTTGGTCACCCTTGTTTCTTTCCTCTTTGAAGTTTCAGTAACAGATATCTCACCTCTTAATTCAGACGTTTTGTCACTTTGGGCTGGTTTTTCTGTTGTACTTAAGACATCTATTTCTGATAAGAACACTATGGCCTCGCCCAGAGGAGCCATTTTGTCCTCGTACAATTCAGCGTGTTCTTCCACTACCTCTTCGTGTTCCCATGTTTCTTCTGCGGGAGACACCTTCTCTGTCACATAATAAACTTCCTGTATTTTCTGAGCTCCTTTTCTTTGCTCAATCTTGACAAGTGTTGTAGTTGCTGGAAGTTTAAAGAGGTGTTGAAGAACAGGCGTCATGTGGCGGCGCCAAGAGAAGACAACAAAACACAAAGACAATCAGGAGTGTTAGAGAGAGACAGCACAGAGATTAAGAGGCTAATGTTTCAGGTGATAATCCACCAGTTAAAGATTGAGATGGTTAGAGTACTTCATCGTGTGTTCAGATGGTTTGTACCTTTTTCAGGAGGAGGGACTTTTTTCTCTTGTTCAACCTCTGTGGACTGAATCTTCTCAATCTTCTTAGTTTCTATTACTTATAAAGAATCAACCAGTTTTTAATCCAAGATGGTGCGTGAGGAGAAGATTATTGCAAAAGAAGGGAATTCAGACAAAGTTAACAAACAGACAAACAGAAATAACAGGCACACATTAAATAACACAAAACACATCAAGCAGTAAGATGTCGAAGATGTAAGATGATAGAAACCCTTTGAAGAAGTGGCAACAGCTCAGTTTGATTTAATTTGCACTTGTGATTTCATATCACGTAATGAATATAATGCAATGTCAGACATAACGTACTGTAGACTCAAAAAATAAAAATGGTTCTGTTCTTTGTTCAGTGCAACTAGTCAACTGTTTGTTTGTTGCATCGTCTCAAAGCCTCAACTCTGATGTGGTTCTAACATGTTTCAGCTTCTGACTGTCATGGTGTTCATCTGCCGGTGGTGAAAACAGCTTGTGATTGTTCAGTTGATGTTATCTTATGCTTACTTAAAGTTAAAGGTAAAAAAAATACATTTTTGTATAAAAAAACAAACTCACTGGCTCTTTCTTCAGCCATGCTCTTTGCTACATATTATTGAAAAATATGATTCATTAAAGAAACAAAGTTCAATCAGATTTTATGATTTGAAGGAACAATTGTGTAAAAAAAAAGATTCCTGCAATCATGTGGGTGAAATGTACATTTTCTCTCTCATTAGGACTTATTTATTGACTGTGTCCGAAATCACTCAGTCACTTACTCCCATAGAATGGACACTCAATATTTTAGTCAACACTGAGCGGTTAATTGAGCTTTTGGACAATTGCTAATTATCATCCTCATTCTGCATCATCACTGACAGCTGCAGAGATGCCTGACTGTAATTTTCTCATCAATGTAATACAGAGCATTGCATTGTGGGATCGTTAGCAGAAAGCAGTGCACAAGCCATGAAAAAAAAGATATAAAAAGCACGATATAGAAAATAAGGAGTGATTTTGGACACAGCCCGAGTTTAACACAGTTATGAAGAATGGTAAATGAGAGTCTTGCTTCAGTTAGTTTGCTTTTTGTGCACGTTCTGAATGAATCTGATAAAATAGCCGTTAATTGTCATTGTGAGATAATTATTCGATTATTATCAATTATTTGATTCAGAAGTAAGAATTTCATTTTTTGAGTCCACATGCAGAAGTGCAGCTTTATGCCCCATACACTGCCATGAAGCAGATGAACAAGTGCTGTAACTGGACTGTTGCTGATGGTTGACATGCATGAAGAAGATACAAAGATAGAAAGAGTTGAGGTCTGCCTCAGCTGTACCTTTAGGAAGAGTTTCTTCAGCCTGTCGTTTGGGTTTAGCTTCAGGTATCTTCTCAGGTGTTTTATCAGGGGTCTTTGTAGGCATTGTTTTCGCTACAGAGATCCTCTCTGTTTGTTTCTTCAACACCTTTTTAACTTTTACTTCCTCAACTTCAACAGGAAGCTGCTCAGCTGGCTTCTTCTCAGGTATCCTCTCTTCTTCAGCCGCCTTTCGAGGAAGTGTTTCAGGCTTCCTCACAGGACGAACCATCTCTGGAACTTTTTCCTCTGGTGGTTTCTCTTGAACCTTTTCTGGCACCATCTTTGGAATTTCCTCCACTTTTCTCTCAGGTGCCAGTACTTTCTCTGGAACCCTCTCATGGGACTTTTCCCTCACCTCAGTTTTCCCTGGAGGCCGTCTTTCTGGTACTATCTCAGGTATTTCATCAGGCAGGCTCTCAACTTCAGTCTTCGACACAACAACCTCTTCAAACACCTTCTGAAGTACTTTTTCAGGTACCTCTTCTGGTACGAGTTTAGGTTTGGGCTTCAAGGCTTTAAGAGGGTTTGACACAAAAAAACGTGCACAAGACATGACTATAAAGAACACAAAAATGTGCTGGCGCACAAGTAAAGATACATTAGAAACAACAGGGAATACTTTACTCAAATGATCTGTTTTTAAGCAGAAGTGCTGCCATTTTGCCCCGAGGGTGGCGTGTGAAGGTATTTTGTATATGACTACAAAAAAACCCTTATATGTTAATTGTTCTTTTTTGTGGAGTTACAAATTATGGCCAAATGGTGGCACCAGAGGAAGCATCCAGGAGAAAGCATAATCGATATATTTAAATATATCATGGTAATTTGAGTAACATAACCTTGCTTGTTTAAAACTTCAACAGAATCAAAGGACGACAGAGAAAACAGAAACAAAGCCAGAGCTCCATCAGAAATAGTAAAGTACCTTTCTCTTTCTTTGCTGGCTCTTCTTTGGGAGGAACCACAGCAGGTTCTGGTTTCCTGGCTGCTTTTGCAGGCTCCTCCACAGGAACTTTAAAGAGTACCATTCACATACATTAGAAGCCATACAATGAATTCAAGTTGAAGAGTGTTAGAGACAAACCCACCACTCTATCGAGTGTAAGACAAGACAAATCCACAATTGACAAACTCGCGTGCAGCCCCATTGTAACCTCACAGTGACTCTGTGAGCCAGAGGTTAGACATTAGACACACACACCACAGAAGAAGAGACTTTAAGATGAGTGTAAGACTTTAGGTTTTAGTGGGAGGACCTTTGGGATGATTGACAGCCGACTGAGCTTCAGGTACCTTTAGCTGCCACAGGCTTCTTCTGTGGTGCTTCTTCCTCTCTCTCCACCTTTTGTGGGACTGTAGGTGGTGGTGGAGGTGCAACCACCTCCTTCTTGGTTGGTGTTTCAGGTACTTTAAAAGAACACGTCATTTGTCAGATATGTTAAAAGTGTAACTATGTTCACAGTCAAAAAGGCTGTTGGAAAGTGTCAAATGTTTGGTGACGTTAAATAACAAGACACACAGACAAACCGACTCCATCACAGATGTTAGAGACAATCAAAGTTGGCAATACATTAAAAGGTATCAGGTCTCTAAAGGTTAAAAAATAAGAAGTTCGCTTGCACCAACAACTAAACTAGACACAAAAGGATCAACAAGCACTCAAGGAAAATCACTCCAGGTGAGTTAAAGTTGGAGTTAAGAGAATTAAGAAAAACTCTGAAGCTGCATCTCAACCAGAGATGCTGTATACCTTTCTTTGGAGGTTCCTTTGGAGCAGGTGTCGGTTCTGGTTTGGCCTTTGGAGGTTCCTTTGGAGCAGGTGTCGGTTCTGGTTTGGCCTTTGGAGGTTCTGGTTTTGGGACTTTCACTTCAGGCTCAGCTTTTTTCACTGCCGGTTCAGGTTTGAGAACCACCGCAGGTTCTGCTTTTGGAGCTGGAGGTTCTGGCTTGGCGATGGCTGGTTCTGGCTTTGGTACAGGAGGTTCAGGTTTACGGACCTCTGGCTTTAGTTTTTCTGGTTCTTGCTTTGGTTTTCGGGCTTCTGGTTCTGGCTTTGTGACTGCCGGTTCAGGTTTGACCTTTGCCAGCTCTGGCTTTGCAGTTTCTTCAGGGACTTAAAGCAAGATTCAGATTGGTTTAGATACAAGATAGTCAGGACATACAGACAGTCAAAGATTCGCTTCTAGCTTGAAGCTTAGCAAACACAGTAAAGACACATCAATACTGAAGACAGAGAAATAAACTCAGTTAAAAAAGTCATAAAAGTCTTTAAAACTCAACACACACATCCAAACAAAGCAGGAAATACCTTTGGACGGTGGCGTCGTTGGCTTCTTTACTGCCGCCGGTTTAGCCTCAGGCTCCAGCTCAATCTTTGCAGGTTTGGCTTCTGGTTCTGCTTTGGGAGCCGGTGCGGGCTTAGGCTTTGGTTCAGGTTCTGCTTTTGGTTTGGGCTTGGGTTCAGGTTCAGGCTTAGCTGCAGGTACCACTTTTTTGGGCTCTGCCGGTACCTGAGGCTTGGGTTCATCTTCAAGTAGGTAACACAGACATTGGCTAATGTTAGCATGAAGTCGTGCTAGCATCTAAGAGTTATCAAGAGGTGTTTGAAAGAGTGAGATGACACTGAAGAGGAAGACATGCACTGATGTAGAGTGAAATTAGCAACAGTATAGTGTGGAAAACAGACACAACGCCAATTAAAGAGTGCAAACAATTAAAGTCAGAATAAAATCAAGATGAGACAGACATAAAGAGGTGAGACGCTACGTAGCGGTGACTTAGCTGCTACTGAGGACTCTTGATAAGACAAACAACAGGAAGAAGTAACGGATGTACCTTTCTTTGGCACTCCAGGCTTCTCAGCAGGCAGCGAGGGAGCAACAGCAGGCTTCTTGACCTCCTCAGGTTCTTTTAAGATACAGGCAAACACACGATAAACCAGGAAATCAAACAAGAAAACAAAAACAAGACAATGAGAGGAAAAGAACTGAATCTATACAGGTACAATTGTTAAAGGACATCATAACAGATTAGTCATCAAAAGGATGTGAAGATATTCAGCAGAGAGATGTTAGAAATCAGACATCTCTACCTTTGGGAGCAGGAACTTCCTTCTTCTCTGGGGCTGTAACTACAGGAACCTTTTCCTCCACCAGCTTTTTGGCCTCCACTACTTCAAAATTTCAGTAAAATGCCACAAGATAGAAACATTAAGGGATGTTATGGAGTGAAAGGTCACAACTATATTGAATTTTAAAAGTGTAAAAAGCATGGAAAGGCATGGATGAATTCATTACTGAACAGGTACATGCCAACATCAAAGGTATGTTGGTACCTTTAGGTGGCGCCGGCTCCTTCACAGCTGGTGTCGGCTTCTCTTCAGGCTTTTTCTCAGCTTTGGGAACTTAAAAGACACCAACTGTGTTAGCATCATAAGAGAGATGCTGAGCTTTTGCAGGTGAAGCAGAGAAGCGTAGCAGATGCGCAGTAAAAAAAAAAAAAAAAAAACTAACTACAGTAGATAACGCAATAAAAATATCTGTAGCAAAAAGAAATGAAAGAGTAAAGAAATAAAAACAAAGCAGGACAGGACAAAACAATTAAAGATTTTAGTAGCAGAGGACGGACAGATGAGTTTGCGTGAGGCGCTGAGCTGCAGCAGGACGACATTCAGGTCTACGGTACCTTTTGTTGGGATTTCCTCTCTCATTTCAACTTTCTTGGTCTCCACTGTCTCCTCAATGGGAACTCTGGCAGCTGGTGGGAGAAAACACACAGGGACACATCCAGGATCATCATCGTCAGCAGAAAACATTAGTGCAATGAAAACAGCTTCTCGTTAAGAGATGAATCGCTGCTCATAACAAATGGACGAGGCTCTGAAATCAGTGCTGCATGAAACCCTGTCTCATGTTACAACACAAACCTTAAACCATGTCTTGTGAACAGCATGCATGGTTTAACATTAAAGGAATCACATGGTAATCTATTAGCAGTTAGCTTTAATGCAAAGGAAATGATAACCATAACTGATCTAGACATGCATTTATGGTAAGACAGTAAAGGTTTTAGGGGATGAGCCTCAGACGGCAGTTACAGAACCATGAGAGGTTGTTATGATCAAGTAAACACTAAAGAAGAAGAATTAAAGGACAAACAAAGGAAAGAAAAAGTGGTGAGATGAAGGAACACAAAAGGTAAAAGCCTTAAAAATCATAAATCTCACAAACGAAGACAAACATTAAGATAGAGCCATGGTTAGAGCGGCTCAGACACACAGCTATTAACAGATAGATGTCCTCCCTGTGTGTTACACCGGTCTGATACCTTTGGTCGTGGACACCTGTTGTGTTACCGTCTCCTCTGTCCAGCTCTCATACTCAACTGCAGGTGTGACGACCACAAAAGTGACAGAAAACAACAAAAGTGAGGCAAACAGTTTGTGCTCGGTGACGAAAACTAATGACGTCATTTCACAGTTTCACAAAGTCACCGTATTGTTGTCTCAGAGAGTCTTTAGTTCATCCATTAATGAGATATGAGTCTAACAGTAGTTCAATTTGAAAACATACACCCTCTGATTTCATGAACGGAGCAATGAACAGGCCAAAGGCTCTTGCTTGTTAGTTTTACTTTTGTATTCTGTTGTCGTCTAGTGTGAGGTGTTTGTGTGATAACCAACTAACCCCAGAGTTTAGTCTGTAAAGCTACAAACTATTTCAGTATTAAAACAGGCTACATTTCACTTATAGATCGACAAGATGAAAGACTTTGACTGTGAAACAACGACACAGGTGGAAGTTAGTGAGTGTGTCATGGAGAGATGGAAGATGGGATGATTGTTAAAGAGTGAAAAAAGAAGTTCACATCCCAAAACCTCAGACAAACAAACAAACAGGAACACGAACGATCAGCAGGATGATATCTAAATCCTTTCGCAACAAAAACAACCTTCACAAAGCAGAGATGAGTCACGTGACACAATGATGTTATGATGGACAAAAGAAGCAGATCTATCTATTTATCTATCTGTCTGTCTGTCTGTCTGTCTGTCTATCTATCCTTTTTTTCCCAGATCTACTCAGATGGTTTGATGATGATGATGAAGAGGATGAAGTTTGAGTGAAAAAGAAGAAACACATATTGTACCTCTCTGCTCCACCTTCATCTCCTCTTCATAGTGATATGTAAATTCAGCCGATTCTTGAAAAAACAAATTGTTGTTTCCGTTATTAAGAAAAAAGAAATAAAGATTTTGAGATTTATGATGAGAAATATGATTTAGTTTGTTCGACGTCAGAGTTAAACAGAAAAAATAACTGAAGGTCTGAAGATCTGTGATACAGATGATCAGTCTCATGTTAAACTGATGTTAATCAGTCTTTGGTGGTGGAGGAGGTGAGCAGATGAAGTATAAAAACAAACAGTAAATACCTCTATGTTCAACTGCTTCTTCGTATTGATAGAATTCAGCAGATTCTTTAAAAGACAAAAACATGTTGGTTTCATTACGAGTTTTAATCTGTTTCTTGAAACTTTATGGAAACAAACATTTTGGAGTTTTAGGCTTTGGTCTAAACTCACATGTTAAAAAATGAACTCATGAAAAAGCTGTTTTTAAATCTACTTTCTGATAAATGGATGTTAAAGTTAACGGCTCCTAATTCCAGTCTTACCTTGAATTGCCACTGATGAGGGCACTTCAGGCCTCTGAACTGAGGAGTCTGGGACATCTACAGAATATGGAATATGGTTTTAATTTAATTTAACAGAAACTACCATAATACAATGGGACTGCATGTACAGTAGTATTAAAAAACATCATATTAATAGTTGACAGTCTGACATTTCAGAAAATCCTCTCTCCTCTTTTGCCAGAGTTGTTGGAAGGTTCAAGATACAGACAGCACCATAACATCAACCAAGCTGCCATAATATCAGTGGCCCTGGTCAATGTTGCAAGACTAAAACTAAGACCTAAACTTAATGCTAATGATATTAGCTGTTTGTGGCTATGTTAGCAAGAGGTTTCCCTCTGCTAACAGTCTTTGCACTTACGCTAAACATGTTTTCTTTAATTATAACACTGGTTAACTAAGAATGGATACGCTAATAGTTTGCTGACCAACTATAAACAGCTAGCAGCTAGCATATCCTTGAGAATGCTAGCTGTTTGTAGCTACTATGGCAAGCAGTTTCCTGTCTGTGCTAAGCTAATTTCAGACCTGACTCTGCTGAAGATGGAGAACAAGAGGATTTCTTGAAATGTCCCTGATTAAAGTCGTTAATCTAGAGAATAAAATACTTACCAAAAGGCACCTTTGCTAATTCAATTTCTGTGAAAGGGGGGGAAGAGTGAACAACGCGTTAAACACTAGAACAAACAAAAGCTGAACAGAAGCATAAAAAGTGGCGCCTGACTAGGAACTGTACCTTTGCCAGACAAATAAAGCTCAGCTGTGCTCTTAGCCTCTCCTCTGGGCTCCAACCTCACAATCACTGAGTACACGCCTACATGGGATTAGTAATGAAGACGTTTACACTCAAGTCATAAAAACAATTAGAAAAAAAAATCTATTGGGCCTTGTGACGGGCCTCTGGGGTTCGATGGCGCTCTACACACCTTCGTCTTCGATGGTCACGTTTCGGATGACCATGAAATGTCTTCGGCCCTCGCTTGTGAAGTTGTACTTAGGGCTCTCTTTCAGTTCCCAGGTGTCTTTGTACCACGAAACGATCGCGTTGTCGAAGGACACCTCGCACTCAAAGGTGGCCGACTGGCGCTCGTTGACTTCAACGTTGTGGATGCGTTTGGTGAAATGAATTTGTTCAGCTAAAACAGATAAAGACGTGAATGGGTAAACGTGTTTGGCATCACAACTGGGAATGTATGACAAAGGCTGAATGATTTCATCGACACAACATCCACACGGTTAGAAATGATGATCAGAGGAATGCTAATGGGACAGTTATGATGACTGGTTGTTTGGGGGAAGGATGGATTTGAGTCGAAACGGATGTAAGAAGACAACGGATGAGATGATGGCGGACGTTTTTTTTGCAAGAGAATCCAGGAGAGGAGAGTGGTGAAGAATGTTAAGACAGAGGAAGACAAGTCCCAGAAGAAAGAGATAAAAAAGAGGGAAAAATCTTCAACATTAGTCTCAGAGTTTGATGGGGGAAGTCGGAAGAGGTTAGTCAATGGGCAGAACATCCACCACGTCTAGAAGGTTGCACGGAGGTTTCCAGGTACAAACCTTCCACCCAGAGGTCTGCCGAGGACTCCAGGTGCTGGTACCTGCAGCTGTATCGACCCTGGTCTTCAGGCTTCAGGTCCCTGATCAGAAGCTTCTGAACCTTGTGTTTCACCTCGGAGGTGTACCTGCCCTTCATCTCTAACTGCGTGCCGTTTTTAAACCACTGAGCCTCTACGTTAGGGATGGACAACTGACAAGAAAGAGTACATGAGTGCCCTTCCTTACCCGATGTGTCCTGCAGATGCTTCTCAACCTCCGCCTCTGAAAGACAAAACACCAACACAGCAACCGTCAGAAGGGTTTAGAGGTCAGACATGTACATGTCGATACTTCGCTTCAGTTTCCTTTCATGAACATTTTTTGTTAAATCTTTGAAAACCTTGTGTTTGTTTTTCCAGGTCTCTAGTGGACAGAGTAACATATAAGTAACAGAGTTGTACAGATGCAGGGTATCTGTACTGACCCATGACAGTGAGCTTGGCGCTGGAGATGTGTGGCCCGCAGACCACCCGGTAGTTGCCCTGGTCGGACGACTGGCATTTCTTGATCTTGAGCAGGTGGCGGTCGCCACTAATGCTGATGTCGTACTTGTCACTGGTGTCCAGTTTCTGCGTGCCCTTGTACCAGGATAGGGTGATCTCCGGGTAATTGATCTTGACCTCGCACTCAAACACCACCTCCTTGTTGGTGAAGACGGACCGATCGGAGATATCCTTCACCACGGTGACAGGCTGCGGGAACGAAAAGAGAATTAAAACTCTGAAGTCCACGTTACCAACAGAAACACAGACTGGAGTTCTGTCTGTGAATGAAAAACAGTGACTGTGTCCTGACCTCTGTCCGCTCCATCCTCTTCTGCAGATCAGCCACTAGTCGGGCCATGTCCTCATCAGACTCTCTGTCTCCACGTTCCAGTTCCTGTCAACAACAACAGTATTCAGCACATGATCTACAGACATGAAGACATCAGAGGCGCTGACGGTGCAGAGTGTTACCGGTCTTCCACTTTCTTCAGCTTTCTCCTTCTTCAGCTGCTCGATGGCCTGCAGCAGGCCGCGGTAGTCGGTGATGCCGTACATTCGGGCGTACTTCTCATACTCTTTAGGGTCCACGTTCCTCAACAGCTCCACAATGTCAATGTCCTTCTCCTCCTGTGGACTCTTCTGCTTTGATGGCGTCCTGAGAACAAAACAAAGGAGACACTGTGAGTTTGTAAAGGTGGAGACGCCAGAGGGTCCAGAAGGATTCAGAGATTAAAGATTGCATTTAAAACCGTGTGTGATTGTGTGATTGTGTCCCAGCAGATTATTTTCTGACTCTGACGGAATGAACTCACTTCTTCAGTTTGGCTCGGAGGTCTCCCTCGAGCTGCACCACCTCTTTCTTTTCGTCCACGTGCATGTCGGTGCTGCACTCGATCTCTCCGTGCTTGTTGGAGGCGACGCACCTGTACTGACCGGAGTCCGACTTGGTCACTTCCCTGATCTCCAGTTTGGCCTCCTGACCCTTCTGTTCGATGGAGATGCGGCCGCCGTGATTGATCTGCCTCCATTTGCCCTTCATCCACTTCACACTGGGGATGGGGTCGCCACCCACCTTGGCGATGAAGGTAGCGGTGCCCTCTGTGGAACAACAGGTGGAGGTTTAGGACAAAACTACAAAGTCTGACCATAATGTTAACCTCTGTACAAGCTGTGTGTCATGCACTGTGAACAGTATAAGTTGTGTATCATGTAAAAGTTGTGTCTCACTCTCAGTGATGTGTGCAGTTTTAGGCTCCTCGATGAAGAACAGGTTGTCAAGTTTTTTAGTCGGAGCCGCAGCTGGAGCTTCAGCAGGAGGCGTAGCTGCTCCTGGTTTCTCTGCAACACAACAACACAACAACATTACAAAAGTATTAATTTCCAAAAAAGTTGAATACCTCAGCTCAACTGTTAAATATACAACCACAAAGTGTGCACATGTAGCTGCAGAACAGTTCATGTTTTTAACAAACATATCCAAGTAAAATCCAGTTAATCACTGACTTTCAGAGAGGAAAGAAATCCTGTTAATATAAGCTCCAGGGTGGAAATACATCTGAATATTTTATTCCATTTCATGCCTCAATTTTCCATATTAGCTGTTGTTTTCTTTCACAAAGAGTAAAAAGAAAAGTTACAGATAAAAAGGTTAACAAACTCAGCAGTGTCACTCGTCCTATTAAGAGGATCCAAAACGATTGGATAATATTAATATTAATATTAACAAATAATACATCTGCACTGTGACAGACATGCAGACGGAATGGAAGCAAAGTGGTTCATGAGTAATAATAACACTGTTCTCTTCATGGTCAGGTCCAGATAAATTACAGAAATATATTTTGTTCTTTTGGTTTATTATATTGGTTTTTTATTGTTGAGTTTTATGCACTTTTATAACTAATACCTGAAAAGTGCTGTATAAATAAAGTTAATTATTATTATTATTATTATTATTGTACCACTGAGAACATTTAAAGCACAAGGGGAGTGAAAAGTTAAATCACTCCTGGTTCTTGCTGCTCTCCTTTACAAATACATGTCATGACCTGAACTGTCCACCAGGTAGAGCTGTTCGACATCTGACAGGCAGGAAGGAACAGCAGCAGGAAAGGATAAAGATCAGTTCTACCTGTGATTATGATGCCAACCCTTCCATACACACTACATTTGAAAATCCACTGATTTTAGAATGATATTCTTAACTTTTACTCATTTATTTATTTTGTACACTGTGATTTCACCAAAGGCGTAAAACATTTAATCATTAAAGTGACATATTACAGAGCTCTCTAATTACCATGTAAATAAAAACTGCTTTTATCAATAACCTTGATCAATATGATCAGAGAAAATCTAAGTTCTAGTTCCCAGTTCTTACCTTTCACGGTGACTTTGGCTTTGCAGAACTCGCTGCCGGCGTCATTGGTGGCCTTGCAGAGGTAATCGCCGGCGTCGTGTCTAGAGGCCGGGCTGATCTCCAGGCAGGCCGTCCCATCAGAGAAGCTGATCCTGGTGCTGCCGGCCGAAGTCAGGTCCTTCCTGTCCTTCATCCACTGGATCTTCAGAGGAGGAGACCCGCAGACGTGACACCTGAGGCTGAGCTTATCGCCCTCGTTCACAGTCACCGGTTTGAGAGGGACGTCAAAGACTGGAGGCTTCTTGGCCTCTGCAGGAGAGAGGACAGTTTCAGCGGACTGTGCTGTGACAGTGTGGAAGTTACTGAACAGGACTCTGGTAAAAACATGTTACAGAGAAACGTTCAGGAGGAATCACAAGCAAATATCAAAGCCAGTGATTTGGAGACTACACTCATTAGAGCTGCAGGTCAAACATGAAGCAGCTCCACATTTCATCAGCAAACTCACTGAATTCATCTGAAGAATAAGTTTTATAAAACTATCTCATAATTACAAGATCTTTGTTCCACAATTTTCTCATAATAATTTCCATATGTTGAAATTATGCCATAGCATCCTATTATTAAAAACAAAACCTATTAGATATTTGAGACCATTACTGGACAAACAGACAAATCACGTCAAATACACGAACGAGCCTCTCAGAGGCGGACTAGGACAGGAAGCCGCTGATTCTGGAAACATTCCTGAGCTGGAGGTTTTTAGGTTTTTAATATGTTCAGTGGTGTTGAGTGATCTGGACTCGAGTTACTCACAGACCAGCTGTCTCTGGGCTTTAGCACCCACAACCAAGATTTCAGTTTCCTGCCTGTTTAGCTGAAGGGTGTTTGCTGCCATCCAGTGGTTCATTTCTTCCAGGCAGTAGACTAGAGAGTGTCATCGCCGTAATTATGGAAGCTAATGTTAAATGTGCTGCTCATGCAGTCAAGGGGAAGTATGTGTAAGTAAAAAGAGGAGGATCCAGGATGGAGCCCTGTGGTACCAGAAGACCCACCCAGGTCCTGAGCCGGTGCAGCAGTATCCCATGATCCACTGTGTCGAATGCTGAGCTTCGGTCTAAGAGTATTTGGACTAAAGTTTGTCATTAAGAGCTTTTAGAAAGGCAGTTTCAATGTCATGAGAGTTTATCATAGATATTATTGTCTGTAAGCTAGCAGATAAACAACTGACCTATGTTTAAATTACAGAATCCATATCTAGGAATTAGAAAATAAAGATCTCATAATTGTGTCTTATCAAGCATGTGGTAGATGTCACATAGACTTATTTCTTATTTTGTCTCATTTCACCATCCAAAAACAAAATTTTTAATGATTAAAAGTGGAAGAATATTCAGTTTATTTGAGCTTTGGTGAATTGTTGTGTCCACCAAAAGCTGACCAAGAGTCCAAAACTCAGAGATTCAGTTTACAAAGACCAGAGAAAAGAAAAGCAAGAATCAATCGTAAACTTTGTGAATCAAACCCACCTGTGATGCCCACAGTGACGTCGCATGAGGCTCTTCCAGCTTCGTTGGAGGCCTGGCAGGAGTACCTGCCGCTGTCACTCATCTGGCTGCTCTTAATGCACAGCACGGCCACATTACTCTTAAAGCTGATGTCATATTTGTCTGAGCTGTGGATCTCTGTGCTGTCTTTGAACCAGCTGACAGACATGGGCTGCGAGCCAGAGACTCGGCCCTCGATCTTCACCAGTTTGCCCTCCATGTCCTCGATCTGCTCCGAGGGCTTTTTGGTGAACACCGGAGGGTTTTTACGCTCTGAAAACAAGATAAGGAAGTGATGTGAGGAGAGGGAGGTTGTTTTTCTCCCACACAAAGAAACGCCCCTGAAGGGGGCTTAAGTGTTTTTAAGAAGAGAAGGCCAAGATGAGCTGAGTGCGACCCAGGTTAAAATACCTTTGACAGTGATATTTGAGGAACAAGAGTCCTTCCCCATGTCATTAGAGGCATGGCAGAAGTATCTCCCTGTGTCGCCTTTATCTGCCTTCAGAATGGTCAGGTGGGGCGTGTTCTCCACACAGCTGATCTTATAATTCCCCCCAGAGCGAATGTCTTTATGGTCTTTAGACCATGTGACTTTAATGGGGCCTGAGCCGGTCATGTGACACTCCAGCTCAATGCTGTCACCCACCGTCACCTCCTGTGGTGACAACTTCCTGTCAAAGACCGGAGGGTATCTGGGTTCTGCAGGTCCGTGACAGAGCGGGAAGAAGGTAAGACGACGATGACAAGAAGAAGAAGAAGAAGAAGAAGAAGAAGAACAATAACAACAAATGTTTAGATAAAACATTTAAATTCCCTGTGCTGCACTTTACTTTACTGTACTCAGTTACTTTACTGTACTCAGTTACTTTACTGTACTCAGTCACTTTACTGTACTCAGTCACTTTACTGTACTCAGTTACTTCACTGCACGTTAGACATGGTCTCGACACCTGCCCTTTGTACCAAAAACCAATGTCACCAAGTAAAATGACAAGAAGTGACTTGATGGTAATTTTGGGAACTAAAACCTGGGGTCAAAGGTCAAAGGACAGTAAGAAATTCTGCCTCAAACTGAACAGAAGAATGTTTTTGTGTTTAAAATCAGAACCATACAGTCTGCCCTAAACCCAGACAGACACAGTGTTTATGTCCTAAACATGCAGCAGTATTTCAGTCTCATTCTCCACAGACCTTGCAGGGTGAGCTTGGCTCTGCAGGAGGCCGAGCCCACGCTGTTGGTGGCCACGCAGGTGTATTCCCCAGAGTGCCTCATCTCGCTGTGGTTGATCTCCAGCACGGCTGTGTTGTCGTCGTACAGCATGGAGAACTCATCTCCCTGCCTCAGAGGCTCGCCGTCCTTTAGCCACGACACCTCGATGGGTGACGAGCCGGCGACACGGCACTCGAACCTGACAGCCTGACCCTCCGTCTGCTGCAGGCTGGTGATTTTCTTGGGGAAGGTCGGAGGCGTTTTGGCCTCTGGAGAAGTTAAAGACAGTGACGGAAATGAAACAGCAGCTTTAGAAAGATGTAGTTTGTGTTTTAGAGAGTTAAATATGTATGTGAAGAAGTTTCTTTATTTGTGTTTAAGATTCCGGTGATTAATTTGCATTTTTATGAGTCAAAATTAACCTTGCTTAATTGGGTAAAAATAGGCATTAAAGTAATTGCAGTAATTTGGAGAGTCAGAACATCAGGTGCTCACCTTGCACATTGAGTTTACAGGTGGAGGAGGCAGAGCCGATCCGGTTCTCTGCCTTGCAGGTGTACTCTCCGATGTCGGCCTTGGTGGCTTTGCTGAGCTTCAGACAGGCGACACCCTTTGAGTACTCCAATTTACAGGTGGGGCTGGACCGGACTTTGCCGTCGGCCTTGAACCAGGACACTTTAATCTCCGGTGTGCCTGCCACCTGACACTTCAGACACACGGCGTCTCCAGCGGTCACATCCATGGGCTCCAGAGACTCAACAAAGTATGGCGGCTCTGTAGTGACAGACAAAGATGATTAAATCAAACCATGAAACTGACGTCTGCTGGTCGTAGGTACTGCGTCGTTTAGACTGATGACAAGCGGACTCAAGTTTTCAACTTTATTTAGAGAGGCGGTGATGTTTGTCAACAGTCTATATTCAGTATATACTGTATGTTCTCCAAAAACTACATTAAACATGAAAGATTTCAGTTACATGTACAAAAATGAAGTAAACCAAGTCATCTATTAGAGAGATTCAAAGGGAATCTACGAGTTTGTCTCAAAACATTAAAATCTCTCCAGACCTGTAAAGAAATCTTATTTAAATTAAGTTTTTATAAAAACAAAATAAACAAAAAGAGATTCCTCTCAGTGTTTATCAGTAAAGAGAAGTTTAACTCACCGAGGATGGACACAGCTGCCTCACAAGTGTCCTTTCCAGCATCGTTGGACACTTCGCAGCTGTATCTTCCTGCGGCTTCCTTGTCGTCCGTGCTGAGACACTCCAAGATGCAGGAGCTCTCAGTCGTGGTGATGTTATATTTGTAAGAAGCAAAGATCTGCTGTCTGTCTTTGTACCAGTTCACTGTGATCTTTGGAGTTCCAGTGTACGTGCACTCCAGCGTTAATGGTTTTCCCTTCTCAACTGACACGTCCTTCAGCTTCTTGGAGAAGGCTGCAGGCTCTGAGGGACGAGACCAAACATTTAGTTTGAACACCATAAAGAAAAACACTGAGTCTGACGGGATAAATCCACTGACATCTGTGTTTGATAGAAAGTTTCATTTTTTGACAGGGACAAGAGGTTGTTTCTCACTGTAATATTAACACTCTTATATTAGGACCACTTGCCAATTACGGTCCTGCATTTCACATAATCCGCATTTCTTTCTCAGTCACTGATACCTGGCACTTCAATCATGAATGAGGATAAAATTCTGCAGCATAATTTACTTTACATTGTGAATTTAATAGAAGAGACATTAATGCAGAGTTTCTTATTGTTCACATTTTCTGATACAGCTTCTGTAAGTCTACTGACTTGCTAATTTATCTTAGATTAAGTATCTAAATACTTCTTGTATCACTGATATTTGCTCACCTTTTAGCAGGCGTGTACTTATATCAAGTGCAGTGTGGATCTGACTTTTTGTTACAGATGTTCCCCTGACAGAGCTAATTACACTTTGTAGATCTACGTAATGGGGCAAATGTAAAGACACTGAACTTGGATCTACAGGATAACAAAGGAAACATATAATTTCATGTGCGACCAACCTTTGACAGTGAGATTAACGGGGCAGTTTTCCTTTCCTGCATCATTAATGATCTGACAGGTGTACTCTCCAGTGTATGATCTGTCCACGTTGAAGAGCTCCAAAAGGACTTGGTTGTCCTTCAGCGAGAAATCACAACCCTGTCCTGACAGGATCTCCTTCGTTCCTCTGAACCACTTCAGCTTGAGCGGGGCGCTGCCTTTCACCATGGCTGAGAAAGTCACGGTAGAGCCTGGCATTGCCTCCACTGGCTGTGGTGGCACCACGAAAGATGGAGGTTCTGGGTACAGAGATGGAACACATTGGAATCTGATTTCCTCCAGGATAATACTTGATGACGCCTGCTGATTTTTCTTTCACTTGAAATCTACACGGATGAGCCAAGACATTATGACTAATCAATGCCTAAAATGCTGTTGGTTCTTCATGTGCCACCAGACCACTTCCAACCTACCTAGACATGGACTCTACAAGACTTTCGAAGGTCCCTGTAGTATCTTGGCACCAAGCAGCAGATCCTTTGAGTCCTGTTAGTTGGGAGGTGGAGCTGATGTGCATCAAACTTATTCCAGCACATCCCCCAACACCCTGTCACCAGTTCGTGGTCTGACCCTCCTCTGACCAGTTACTCAATACTGCATCCAACATACTGACTAAAAGAACCTGTTCACTTACCATCAAATATATCCCACACCCTAACCCTGATATGCCTTATTTTCTTCATCTGTTAGTGGTCAAAATGTTTTTGGCTCATCAGTGTGAATCCAAAATGGAAGCACAACACTGTGACACAGACCTACATAGAGCCAACATTCACTAAGAAGAGTGGCATTGCTTATGAGGCTGTTGTAAGCTCATGGTTGCTGCCAGTTTCACCAAAACCTCATATTTGACTGAGTAGTTGTGTTGATGACCTGTCATGATGCAACTACACATTGCTATTCAAACTCAAAGTCTATATGTAAATAATCCATCATTAATTTAAATGGTTCCTCTTTTCAAACTGTTCTGGTTCTCGAATCAGAGACTTCCTGCAGTTACTGACCTTTGACAACCAATGAGGCCATGGTTTCACTGGATCCTGCCTTGTTGACAGCTTTGCATTTGTACACTCCGGAGTCGGACAGCTTCAGTGTGGGCACTTTGAGCATGCAGCTGTTGTCACTGAATGAAATTTCATAATTTGGCCCACTCTGTATCTCCTCCCCATCATGGTACCATGAGATGGTAAAAGGTGGGGAGCCTGACACTTTGCACTCCATCTCTCCAGGGTTTCCAACAATTGTGTTACAATCCCTTAACTTCCTTGAGAATGTTGGAGGTATGATCTTATCTGTTAGGGAGGGAAACATAAATCAGGTACTGCATCAACACAAATACAGCTGTGAATGTATACTCAACAACAGGGCTAGGTATGAAACCTCAATGCTTTTTTAGTACATACTGAAGGTGTTTCACCAGGTGTCTAATACACTCAACTACTGAAAGCTGACACTGAATGTGTGGTCAGATTAATAAGCTAAGATAGTTTCTGATTTAAATCCAAACTGTGTCAACTTGAGACTAAAGTTTTATTCAGGCGATGTTGGTGTTAGACTGCTTGTGTTTAGACATTTAACACCTGAGAACTTTGGCTTTTGTTGTAAGAATTAAAAAAAGGTGTTTTGTAGAAAAAACTGTTCTTATTTTCTGAAAGTAAGGATAAAAAAGGTTTATGTTATTGTCACTGACTTGAACACTTTCAAAAGTATACAGCCCTACTCATCAAATTCCAAGTACAGAGAGGACACCAACCTAAAACGGTGAGATTAATTTTACTCAGGTCCTTCCCAACCTCGTTCATAACCTCAAATGTATATTCTCCAGAGTCCATTTTCTCAGCAGAGAGCACGTTTAGGCTGGAAATCATCCGAGAAAATGAGATTTTGTATTTCCTCCCAGAGGCCAGCTCCACACCGTCCTTGAACCACTTAGGTTTGAGCTCTGGGGTTCCACACACTTTGACCTCAAGGGCGGCGATATCACCTGCCGTCACGCTCAGAGTATCGGGCTTATCCACTATTTTAGCAGGTTCTGGAATCAACAGAAAAGGAGGAGAAAACGTTTTCAATCAAACCTGCAAGGCAAGGTGGGAAAACAAAACTGCAAGAGAAAGAGAGAATTATATGGTTACAAACCTAGAACAGTCAACTTAGCGAAACACTCCACACTCCCAGCATCGTTTCTGAGTTGGCAGGTGTATTTGCCTGCCGTGGTTGCATCTGCCTTAAAGACTTTAAGTGCGACCTGGTTGTTCTCAAAGGTGATTTTCCTGTTGTCACCGTCCCTGAGAATGTGATCCTTGTCTTGAACCCAGGACACAGTAATGGGTTCAGAGCCTTTAACAGTGGCCACAAGGGTCACCTCCTCTCCCAGTATCACTGTCATGTTTGACAGTTTCTTCACAAATGATGGCGGCTCTGGAGAGAGGAGAAAAACAGCGCAAAAGGGAAAGTCAGCAAGGTGACAAAAGTAATTTGAAAATCTAATACTAATGATTTTCATTTGAGAACATCGCAATTTCTACTGACCTCTGAGTTTAACTGTTGTCTGGCAGGTGTCACTTCCTACACTGTTTGACACTTTGCACTCATATTCGCCGGCATCTGAGGGCTCTATCCCAATGACATGCAGCGTCGCTGAGCTGCCCTCGCTCACCATCTTATACTTCCTGCTCTCCATCAGAGGTTTCCTGTCTTTGAACCAGGTGACCTGGAACGGAGCTGTACCGCTCATCTCGCAGTACAAACTCACGTCCTTACCCTTAAGCCCCTCAACAGGCTGAGGTACTTTGACAAAAGATGGGGCGTCTAAAAACAGATCAGGAAACTGTTAATGAAGCAAACACGGGAAAAAGTCCATGACGAAATCTTAAAGCTGAGACCCGTAACATTTCACGTTTTGTCACGTTTCACCGTGGCAAAAGGCCCAAGAGGCTAAGAGGGCTGAGTTGTTGATGTTTGTGCAACTGCATCTTACAGGGTAATTTTTGTACAAATTTGGAACTACAGCCAAGATGGTGAAATTTAATGTGGAAAATGGTTGGAAGTACAGCTAATCTGGAGGGTTGAAAAGTGGAAGGTTGTTGGGACTACAACTAAAATGGTGGAGATGCTCTGAGAGATGGTTGGAAGTACAGCTAAACTGGGAGGTTAGAAGGTGGAAGGTTGTTGGAACTACAACTAAAATGGCAGAGTTACTGTGAGAGATGGTTGGAACTACAGCTAATCTGGGAGGTTAGAAGGTGGAAGGTTGTTGGAACTACAACTAAAATGGTGGAGATGCTCTGAGAGATGGTTGGAACTACAGCTAATCTGGAAGGTTGGAAGGTGAAAGGTTGTTGGGACTACAACTAAAATGGCGGAGTTACTGTGAGAGATGGCTGGAACTACAGCTAATCTGGGAGGTTAGAAGGTGGAAGGTTGTTGGGACTACAACTAAAATGGTGGAGATGCTCTGAAAGATGGTTGGAACTACAGCTAATCTGGAGGGTTGAAAGGTGGAAGGTTGTTGGGACTACAACTAAAATGGTGGAGATGCTCTGAGAGATGGTTGGATCTAAAGCTAATCTGGAAGGTTAGAAGGTGGAAGGTTGTTGGAACTACAACTAAGATGGTGGAGTTGCTGTTAAAGATGGTTGGAACTACAGCTAATCTGGAAGGTTAAAAATTGGAAGATCGGTAGGACTGCAGTAGCAGCTGCTGAGTCGTGAATATTTGTTGGAACTACAACTAAAATGGCAGAACTGATGGAGACTTTTCTGGAACTACAGCACAGCTGGCAGACTTGTGAGTGTTTGATGGTACTACAGCTAGCATGGCAAAAGTTGTGCTGAATGGTTGTCAAAACTAAGAGATGGCAAGATTGTTGTGGAAGGATTTTGGAACTACAGCTACAAGGGCAGACCTATAGAATTTATTGGAACTACAACAAACACAATTAATTAGATGTGGAGAGTTGTTGAAACTACAGTTAAAATGGCAGAGGTGTTGTGCAAAATTGTGAATGCAGCTGTTAATTTGACTTAGAATGTGCAAAACCGAAAAGGTTCCAGCGTTTTAAGTGTGACACATTAGGTGAAATATGTCACCACCGGTCTACGGGCTCTGATTTTGAAAAGTCTACAATTACATTGCAGTGAGTATTTGACGATACTCCATTGCACCACATGGAGATGTAAAAAACTTTTAAAAATGTTACGGGCACCAACTTTAAGCTAAAAACTTAAACCCAAACAACACACTGAACAAACAGTGCACCAGAAAGTCAGACCAAAAATATGATATGATGATATAATGATAAGGAAGTCAGTGAGAGGCTGACCTTTAACGGCAATTGTGCTGCTGCAACTGACACTGCCAGCATCATTCTGAGCTTCACAGGTGTAAACTCCATCATCATCAAAGCTGGTGGAGAGCAATTCCAGGACTGCCACTGAGTCAACAAATGATGTCCTGTAGTTGTCCCCATCTGTGACCTTAGCATCCTGTTTGTACCAGGTAATTTTCAGAGGAGCTGTGCCATTGACTTTGCACTCCAGGCGGAGTGACTCACCCAGCTTAACACACTTAGTGGCGGGGAGTTTCAGCACAAACTCTGGTGGTTCTGGAAAGCCAAAATATAGACAAGTTAGCTGCTTGAAGCATGTAAAGACACTTTAGATAGATGGTTATGGCAGGCAAGAAGTGAGCACATGAGATAAGCTGAAGAGATGAGCTGACAATGAGGGGTTAGCAGCAGAGGCAGGATGGTTGTGGAGAATGCAGGTGTAACACAAAGGCAACAAACAGTTGTTGATGAGAAGCTGCAGCAGTGAAAAAGCTTCAAATAACAACAATGAAAGTGCTGCGAAGCTGGAAAATGTCACAGAGAATCACTAGTTTTAGCCAGTGATGCAGAAGTGAGATGAGCCACGCAAGAGTTGATTTGAAAAGATGAGATGAAAAGATGAGAATCCAACCTTTGACTGTCAAGTCTGCACTACAGCGTGCAGAGCCAGCATCATTGCTGACTTGGCAAGAGAAAACTCCACTCTGGTTGACGCCCACTGAGTAGAGTTCTAAGAAGCAAGATAGTCCCTCCAGCCCCGTAAAACAAGTCGGCCCAGTCATGAGCTCGGTGTCGTCCTTGAACCATTTGACTGTGAATGGAGGAGTTCCCTTAAATGATCCTTTGAAGCGGACAGTGGCATTGGGTAGAGCCACCTGGGATTCAGGCATTGTCACAAAGCTTGGAGGTTCTGAAGAGAACAAGACGGAGCAGATTAAAGAGATACTCACCTTTTGGTTTAGGATTACTTGACCAATCGAGTTGGAGAGCACAGTCTAACCTTTGACCATTAGGGATCCACTGCATTCACAACTTCCCGCTGCATTGGTTAGTTTGCAAGAGTAGGAGCCGGCGTCAGATCTCTCTAGCTGCTCAATTTCAATGGACACAGCATTGTCCTGCTGAATGAGTTTGTGTTTTACACCACTAGAGATTTTGCTCTTGTCTTTCTGCCATTCCACACTGATGGGGAGGGAACCAGATATTTTGCAACATATCTGAACAAAGGACCCCAATATCTCTTGCATGTCTACCAGGGGTTTGATGAAGCTCGGAGGAATTACTTGCTCTGTTACCAAGAGAATAATAAGAAAATTGTTAAAATCTGTTCAACATGTCACTCTGTACCATAGGATTGTTACGATTTCCACACCAACCTAGTACGATCACTTTGACTTTGCAGGTGCAGCTACTGATGTGATTTGCCACCTCGAAGACATACTCTCCTTCGTCCTCTCGCTGAGCGGACTGAATCTTTAGGCTGCTGACGTTGTTCTCAAAGCTCAGCTTATGCTGCCTGATGGACTGAAGCTCCCTGCCATCTTTCATCCACTTCACTCTGAGCTCACGGGAGCCTGTTACTCTACAGTCCAGACTGACTGGATCTCCAACTGTAACCCTTATCACCTCAGGTTTCTCAGTGATCTGAGGAGGCTCTATAATGCAAAGCAAAGACAAAAATTCATAAAGTGTCTAACAAAGTTAGGACCATGGAAAGATTTAATAGCCACATTTAGCTAAGCACAAGTATACCTTGCACTGTGAGGGTAGCAAAGCACTTATCCTGCCCAGCCTCATTTACCACCTGGCAGGAATACCTCCCGCTGTGTGTCGCCTCACAGACAGGAATCCTGAGAGTGGCCACATTGTTCTCAAATGTTCTTTCAATCTTTGCATCCTCCAAAATCCAGTTCTCATCTTTTTGCCATTGCACAGAGAGATTGGGCGAGCCTGCCACAATACACTGAAACTCTGCCTTTTTACCCAGAACAGTGGCAGTGTTCTCAATTGTCTTTGTAAATGTTGGTGGTTCTAATAGAGAAAACCAATGAAAGGTTAATGTAAACAGTCAGTTATCACCTTAAAAGAGAAAAATGTGAATTTGTAATTCTGATTCGACCAACCTTTGAGGTTTAGTGTAGTCTTACAAGTACAGCTTCCCACCTCATTAGCAACAGTACACTGATATTCACCAACATCTACAGTATCACATCTGTGCACCTCTAGACCCAGAGTGCCGTTCATCTGGGAGAAGCCATGTTTAGCACTGGGTTTGATCGCTTTTGCATCTTTGTGCCATGTTATCTCAAATGGACCTGTCCCAGAAACATGACACTCGAAACAGGCACTGGAGCCCTTCACAACATCAGATGGAGCCAGATCTCTAATAAATGATGGTGGTTCTGAGATTAGAGAAAGCAAACTGTCATCTACATTTTCTCATGAATTCATTCTTTTCTAAACATTTTGTACCACCAACAAAACAAAGTTTTCCCATAAAAATATTTCTTGTTGGAGACAGAATTTGAAACATTTAAGATCCATTAAGCAATCTTTTAGGCCAGCTAGTTTATGGAAGAATCACTTTTTAAAAAATAATGGTGGTTCTCAGTTTGAAACAATCTTTTCAATTTCAGAACATTAACGATAAAACTCAACTTAAGTCAATGCCAATACAGTTCTTTCAAGGAGAAGGACATAATCTAGTAAAGGTGGCCTCCAGTATTTATGAAATCATTGCTTACAATCCTATATTCTATAAACTCCTGTACACTGAACATAATTTCTTCTGACACTGCTAACCTTTGACCTTGAGCTCCATGCTGCAGCTCTCACTGCCAGCCTCATTGCGAGCCTCACAGTAGTAAATCCCACTGTCTTTGGTATCAGCCCCACAGACTTCCAGAGTGGCCACAGAGTTAACAAAAGCCATCTTGTAGCGATCACTGGGGCTGATCTCAGAGCCTTCTTTGAACCAGTAGATGTCTATCTCAGGTGTGCCAGTCACCTGGCACTCAAAGGCTTTACTCTGACTGGGACGGACCACAGACACACGGGCCGGAGTACGTGTGAACTTAGGCGGCTCTGTGGAATAAAATAAAATAATAGATGTAACCATCACATGAGGAGTGGAAAACTTTGATCTCTATAAATTTAACCGTGTGTAAGTTTCCATCCAAATGCTGCTCAGATTTCACATAAACTAATAACCTTTGACAAAGAGTGTTGCTTGGCATGAAGTGGAGCCGACATCATTCTGTATTTCACACACATAGTCTCCAGAATCTGAGGTTTTGGCAAAGAAGAGCTCCAGTGAGCTTGAGGTGTTATCTTTGATCACAGAGCAGTCAGCACTGGATAAAATCTCTTTCTTGTTTTTAAACCATTTGATGGTCAGTGGCGGCGTGCCAGAGAGCAACACGTTAAACAGAACCTTTGAGCCAGGCAGAACATTCATGGATTCAGGCTTTTCAAGAATACATGGTGGTTCTGGAAGAGAAGAGGAAGTCATTGCTTGTGAAAGCTGCACAAAAGGCAAAGGTCCTGTTAGTTGTGTAGTTATACTTTGATTATATACGTCCAGCTACTGATACAAAAACAAACTGATCAAACCTTTCACAAACAAGATCCCAGAGCACTGGACCGTTCCTGCTTTGTTGGTAGCAATGCAGGTATAGTTGCCGCTATCTTTACTGCCAAGATTAGAGATTTCCAGAAAAGCAACATTCTCAAAGAATGTGCACTTGTGTTTCTCATCGGTGTGGATCTCTTTTTTATCTTTGTACCACTGTATGGTTATTGGCAGGGAGCCAGATACAAGACATTCCAGGTGAGCAAACGATCCTTTGATACCTTCTGTTTGCTTCAGTTTTCTTGTAAAAGACGGTGGAATTATTTGATCTGAGGTTGGTAAAAGAAAAAAAGAGTTGATAGAAAATGTTCAAAGTAAATGAAATTAAACAAAACAAAGTATATAAGTTCTGTGAATCATATGAATAACTAACCAAGAATGGTGAGTGTGGCCTCACAAGAACTTTGGCCGACATCATTTGAAACATTAAAGGTGTATTCACCACCGTCACTTTTCTCAGTTTTAATAATCTTAAGCACAGAGCTGGTGTCTGTGCTCTGTACTTTATATCTCTGGCCTGAGGTCAGCTCCTTGCCAGCCTTTAGCCATTTGGCCTTCAGGGGTTTTGTGCCTGAGAACCTGGCCTCCAGCGTGGCTGGATCCCCCTGAGTCACACTGATAGACTTGGCCTCCTCTGTGACCTTAGCTGGCTCTGAGACATCAAACAAAACAGTCAGCAAAGAACCTGATGTACTACAATTAAGTGACAAACCAAGAACTTAAGTCAGTAACAGAGTAAAGATTCTAAAGATACATTTGGTCCTATCAACTCATAAGGTCATAAAATGATCATGTGAAAAACAGTTATTTCCAATCAGTGGTCAATGTTAAATCCATCAAATGATGGGGACCAATAAAACATTCCCTGCAGCCTGGACTATACTGTATGTATGTATGTAGACTTTATTCATGTTAATTAGATGAACAGAATTGCCAGATGCTAATAAAGTGTTTAAGTCAAATGTCACAAAATAGTAACTTGGGAGCTTGTACATCTGAACCTTTACTATTTTACCACTGGTATTTTACAGTTTGGTAGCCATTTGATTAAAACCTCCTGCTAATAAACTTAGAAATGTGTGACTTCATGAGTTGATAAAGATCACCTGAACGCACCATTGGAAAGATTCAAACTAGGATACAAACAGAGTTTATTTTCAAATGCAAGTCATTGAGTACTTTAACCAACCTTTGACTGTCAACACAGCAGAGCACATTTGGCTCCCAGCCTGATTCTGCACCTGGCAAGAGTATTTGCCGCCATGTTTGCTCTGTAAGTTGGTGATGTGCAGCAGAGCAGTCCTGTTCTCATGTGTAATCTGAATGTTTTCGGCCTCTTTGAGCTCATGGTTGTCTTTAAGCCAGGACACAGTCATGGGCTCTGAGCCCTTCAGTGTGCACTTCAGAGAAACCTCGCTACCCACCAACGAACTGAGTTTCTCCAGCTTTTGCACAAATGATGGTGGTTCTACAAGGAAAAAATTCAGATTCATGTTATTGGCCTCTATGAAATGTTAGCCTTTCAAAGTCAGACATCATTCTGCAAGTTCAGTCTTTGCTACGCAGTCTAAGTCTGGAAACCATCTACTGTGGATATAATGAACCTCACGTTTTGGGCCGATCAGAGAGCTTCAGTGAGTATTCATATAGTCAATATCTCGTCTGATCTGGACTTAAATTATGCTTTGTATACTGACACCTGAATTAGCAGATGTATTTCTTCCTCAAGTGGATCAAGAAATTGATTTTATTGTTGAGTATTGTGGTGTAGGAAAGGTAACCCTATACACATACACAACCTGGGCTGTATAAAAAAAACTGACTTGACTTGACTTGATTTAATGTTGCTGTATCTGTGACGTTCACAAGAAATAAAGTAGCCTTGAGCAATTGCATGTTGAGGGTTGCCAGACCAGAATGAGTAAAGAGGGACCTGTATTGTACCTTAAAAAGCAGACTGAAAATGCAGATTTATAAGTGCCAGCAAAAAAAGTTGATTTAAAGATAAATCCACAGCATCTAAACAAACCTTTTAGTGTTACTTGACAATCACAGGAGGCCTTCCCTACTTCATTCTCAACAGTACACTGGTACAAGCCAACATCCCCTGCCTCTACTGCCAGCACCTGCAGGGCTACCAGGTCATCTTTCACCGTAATCCTGTGTCTCTTGTCATTCCTAATTAGCTTTGTGTTTTTATAAAACGAAACAGTGAAAGGGGCAGAACCAGTGACTTGGCCTTCCAGCATCATCTCAGAACCTTTCACCACATCTTTGGGCTCCAAGCTACGCACAAACAATGGTGGTTCTAGAAGAAAACAACAAGCGTGTGAGCGCATTACAATGGAGTACACATACAAATGATAATGCCAAAAAGTCAAAATGAAAGAATTCACTGGCGTTTTACTAGGAAGCTGAAGGTGAGTTTTTTTGAATTACTTCTTGAAATCAATGAAAAGCTCAAGAAAAGCAGGTAATGTTCCAGTGTGAGGAGAAGCATCTGTACTAAACCCACCTTTGACTGTAACTGTGCTGCTGCAGCGGTCACTACCAGCCTCGCTGGATGCCACACAGACATAATCTCCACTATCTCCTACTGTACAATTAACCATTTCCAGGGATGCCATTAAGTCAGTTACGGCCATTGTGTATTTAGGACTGGAGCTGATCTCCATCTCATCTTTGAACCACTTGAAACTGATGACAGGGCTGCCTGTCACTTTGCACTCCAGTCTGGCAGTGTCACCACTGGTGACGAGCTTGGCCGCCTCAAGCTTCCTCACAAACACAGGAGGTTCTGAGAGAAGAGGTTAACATTCATTATCAGACAGAAGACATGTTAGTAACAAAAGACATGTGGATGTCACCAAAAAATGTCGAGACATTTTCATGCAGCTGCACACAATACTGAAGATGGCACCTTTCACAAAGAGCACTGTGGTGCAATCCACCTTCCCAGCATCGTTGGATACTTGGCAAGTGTATTTAGCGGAATCACTGGGTTTCACAGAGTGAATCTCCAAAGAGCTTGAGGAGGCATCTTTCTTTATGAAATATGTGCCTCCAGTTAGAATCTCTTTTTCCTCTCTGAACCACTTAACAGCCAAAGGAGCTGTTCCAGTGAAGGCTGCTTTGAAGGAAACAGTGGTTCCTGGTATAACATCCTGGTTGTCTGGTTTCACGGTGAACACTGGGGGCTCTGGGGGCCATCAATAAAAAAAATTGCATTTCATATTAGCATGGAATCATCATCAATCAAGGATTGCGACAACAAAGAAACACAACATAAGGTAAGCGTTCATAACCTTTGACATAGAGTGTGCTGCTGGTTTCTTTAAAGCCAGCTGAATTGGTGGCTCTGCATTTGTAAACTCCAGAATCCGCCTTCTCCAGCCGAATAATTCTCAGGGTAGCAGAGTTGTCTTTGAATTCAGGCTGGAATTTGGATCCAGACACAATCTCTTGGTCATCTTTGAACCAAGCTATGGTCATGGGTTGTGACCCAGACACCTTACAGTCCATGGAGACGTCATTACCAATATTACCATCGACTCTTTTCAGGGACTTGGTGAAAGTTGGAGGCATTATCCGATCTGATTGTTGAAGAAAAAAACATCTCATGCATTAACAGTTTCAAACTGTTTTTGAAAAGAATAAGCAACAAGAATTACTAAAGTTACTAGCTTATACTTGCAATATTTCATTCATTTGTAAAACAGCAAAAGCATTATAAAATGTTAGAGAAACAGAAACAGCTAACCTAAGACAGTGACTGAGCATGTGCACTGGTCTTTTCCAACTTTATTCGACACCTCTATCTTGTACTCTGAAGTGTCTCCTTTTTCTGCCGTAAGAATCTTCATGGTGGCAATATTGTCCTTCAGAGTCATCTTATATTTACGGCCACTGATCATTTCCTTCCCATCTTTAAACCATTTCACTTTGAGTTCTGGGCTTCCAGAAAGTGTGCACTCCAATGTGGCTGAATCTCCTGCAGTCACACTAATGGATTCTGCAGGTTCTACGATTCTGGCAGGTTCTGGGACAAGATAAACCCATTAGTTATTAAGATGTAAGAGTTTGGACACGAGAATTCGATATGCCTGCATCAAAGATGTCATCTGACCTTGCACAGTCAAGGTGGCTTCACATTTTTGTTGCCCAGCCTCGTTCTCAGCTTGGCACAAATACTTGCCGCCATGGCTGATGGCCACTGTTGTTATCGACAAGCTAGCAACATTGTTCTCAAATACCACCTTGATATTTGGATCATCATCTCTCAGTATTTCAGAGTCTTTCATCCATTTAACAGTGATGGGAGCTGAGCCCTTAATGGTTCCTTGTAGTTTTACTATACTTCCCAGCACTGCTGTAGCACTCTCAACCCTCTTTGAAAAAGTTGGGGGCTCTATAAAAACAGATTATGAGTTAAAACTGAGTCTGAAGCACAAGATTAAACCTCAGTTTATAACAGTTTCATTAAGCTCAGATTTACTAACCTTTAAGTTTTGCTAAAGCCTTAGTGGTGACTTTCCCCACATCATTGGTTATGACACACTGATAATCTCCAACATCTGCACTTTCAAAGGTCTGGATCTCCAGCCTTGACAAGGACTCTTGGGAGATTATTTTATATTTCTGATCACTGGTGATTGCTTTTTTATTCTTTAACCAGCTTATTTCAAAAGGAGCTGTTCCTGTGATCTCACACTCCAGCTGAGCTGCTGTTCCCTTCACTGCCTCTAGTGTCCGTAGCTCTTTTCTAATAGATGGTGGCTCTGGGTGTGAAAAGAGTAAGTAAAGTGTATGCAATTAATACCAAAAGTTTTCTGAACTGAACAATGAGTGTAAAGTAATGCAATATTTGACAAACCTTTAACAGCTATAAGGGTGTTGCAGCTCTCGCTGCCAGCATTATTTGACACCTCACAGGTGTAACTCCCACTGTCTGTGACCATAAGATTCATTATCTCCAAAGTAGCAACTCCATTCTTGAAAGAGATTTTATATTTTTCTCCATCACTGAGCTCTCTCTCATTCCAGAACCAGTGGATGTGAAGTTCGGGTGAGCCTTTAATGGAGCACTGTAAGCGAGCAGCTATTCCCTGTTTCCATGTAATTTTAGGTTCCATTTTCTTGACAAAGGTAGGGGGCTCTGAAAGGAGTATTTAGATCAAAAACACCAAGATTTTCAAACATTATCAAAAGAGAGACAGTCACAAAACAAAGGAACCAAGACAGAAGAGTCCGAAAAAGAGATGCAAACGGAAAGGCAAGAAAATAGCAGTGCATAGTGTTAGCATCAGCTTGCAGTTGGCTGAAAACAGTTGTCAGCAATAACCCACCAGCTCATTTCATGGGATATATGTTTTTATCAAATCTACTGGAAAGATCATTGTTCTCAAGATCTTACCTTGAACTGTAACCACAGCCTCACAGGATGAGCTCCCAGCCTCATTAGCGGCTGTGCACACATATTTCCCAGAGTCCTTCAGTTTGGACTTGGGTATCTCAAGAACAGCCACCTTGTCCTCAAAGGACAGTTTACACTCCATGCTCTGGTGGACTTTTTTGCCATCCCTGGTCCAGGTGACGGTCACACCAGTGTCCTCATCCACTTGGCACTCCAGCCTCAGCGGGTCATTAATAGCAGCTGACGCTGGCTCAATGATCTTAACAAAGCTGGGCTTGTTGATAACCTTGAGTTCTGTGGTGAATGTAGCAGTGCCGACACTGTTGGAGGCCTTGCATAGGAACACTCCCTGATCAGTCAACTCAAGACTTTTAATGTGAAGAGAATATTTGTTCTTTTCACATTTCATGACATAGTTCCCTTCAGAAGAGATGGCTATGTTGTCCTTGTGCCAAACAACTTCCATTGGTGAGGATCCAGTGAGTGTGCACTGGAACACAGCTTGTTTGCCCACATATAAAGTCATTGGGTCTGGTTTTGATACAAATACCGGTGGGTACATTTCTATGGAGAGCAGGTAAAACATGAAAAAAAGTTGAATAAATTCTTTAAAAAGAGGAAAAAAACAACACCAAAATAAGATCCCAACTTGTTGATCAATGTAGGTTTATCCACATTGCACCATAATAATTCAAAGTAAAACAAAGTGCAAATGTGTATATAATTCTCTCTCTCTCAAACATACATATAGGTAAAGCGATAATTTAAAAGAGGTCCCACTGGGGTCTTACCAGTAACAATGAGCGAGGCAGTGCAGCTGTCGGTGCCATGCTGGTTTGAAGCCTTGCAGGTGTATTCACCACTGTCAGCTTTGACAGGGTTCAGAAGCTCCAGAGAGGAACTGGTGTGGCGACTGAGGATCCGATACTTCTCGCCCTGTCTGATCTCAATGCCAGACTTGTACCACTTGAAGGTCACACTTGGAGCATCCTCAATCTCACATTCGAACTTGGCGTGGCCGCCAATGTTTATCTCCAGAGGTGTGATTTTCTGCCTAAAGACAGGTGGCACTGAGGCACACACAGACAAAATAAAAGGTAAATGTTAGCAATGGAATCTATGAAACGTTTGTAAAAAAAAATTTAAAAAACTGACAGAAAAGAAATGATGGAATGTACAACAATGGTGGAAGGCAAATCAGGAGTGACTGTGAAGGAGAAGAATAGCAAGAACATTAGCCCCATGGTTTCACAAAAAGCTGCCTGAACGAAGATGCTATCACTGTACATGACTCTCATGGGGTTAGCGTTCCAGCTAAATGGAGGAGAAACAAAGGGTTTGTGAAAGATGAAGTAATGTCAAGTTGAAGCCCTGAAAGCATGCAGAGAGATATTGCAGATATGGAGAGAATGAACCTCAGAGAATGTGACAGATCATGGGTTTAAAACAAAGGAACTTTTTGCCATCGACATGCCAAATGACCATGGAAAGATCATGAAAGTTGCCTAAAGGCCAGGACCATGACAACCATTAAAGCAAGATGCTTACGGTCTACAGAGCCATAAGCTAAACTTGCATGGCTGTAACAGTTCTGGTCTTTAGGCAGTTTTTGACCATAAAGTGACATGGAACAAACAAGACATGGTGAGTTAGTACCATCCAGTGCCCTGCTGAAGTTGCTCATGCCGAGCTATGAAATGAATATAGAGACGAAAGTGAAACTGTGACAAATGCATCATTTTATGTGAAGACAGAGGTTTTGAATGAGCCAATTCATGTGAATGATTAGTGATTCTCAGAGAAAATGGATGAGTGAATGAATGATACATTAATTTTTCCTGTTGTCAAACCTCTTGAGACCACAGTGAGCCTTGAAGATGTTGTAGTCCTGCCAGCTTCATTCTCAGCTTCACAAACATATTCTCCTTGATGCCTCTCCTTGACAATTTTGTTGATAACCAATATGTATGTGTCGTGGTCTTTGGAACACTTGAACTCTTTGCCAGATTTCAACAATTGTCCATTGAAAAACCAGTTTACTTTTGTAACATACTTAATGGTGGTGCTAAAGGTTACTTTACTACCTTCTTCGATAGATAAGTCTTCAAGGGAGGTGACTATTACAGGGTATTCTTTCTGTTCTGGCCTAGATACTGTGATCTCCTCCTTGAAGATCTCCTCCCTGTGCTCCTTCTGGATGCTGACATCCACTGCCTGTTCGGTGGGGACTATGGTAGGAGGCAGGGAAGTGGTAACAATAGCCGCTCCTAGATCTTTTTCTTGGCTTTTCAGTGTCACTGACCTCACCTCCTGCCTTGACACCTGGACTGACTGCTCAAAAGCCATGTGAGCCTCAGTGGAAATTTTGATCTGGGAAGAGATGGATTGTTCCATCTTTGCTGCTTTGGATTCCTGCACCACAACCTGTTGCCCAGCTGCAGCATGTTCAACTTCCATTTTAGACTCTGTCTTGAGTGCAGCAGCATGAGATTTAATGGCAGTGAAATCCACTGTACTCTCTGCCACATTAACTGTCTCTACCATGGATGACAACATTTGCTTAGAGGAGGCCGAAGTGACCTGCGCCCTTTGAGGTTTGTCCAGCTGCATAGTGCCCGGCTGTTCTGAAGTAAGAACATGGGCCTCTTGGTACACTATGGAGTGGAAAGCTGCCTGCAGTTCAGTTCTGAGGTCAGCTGTCCGAGGGTATTTCCCCTCAAAAGCCAGAGTGATCTCCATGGGAGCACCTGTTGTTGTGATGAGGTATGTGAACATGGCCCGTTTGGGCTCTCTTTGAACCTTGACCTCTTGTACTTCTACAGCCTGTAACCTGCCTACGACATCAGCCAGTAACACTGGCTGGTCACTGGCCACAGCAGACTGTAAGGCATCTCTGAGCTGACGGCGTATATTCAGACTGGATGGTTTAGGGATCTGAATCAAAAACGTCATCTCTTTGGGAAGAGCTGTGCTGTCTTTTGATTCTGATGCCATAAGAGACAGTTTTGGCTGCGTGGTGACGACGACTTTAGTAGACTCAGACTTGGTGATCTCCTGAGAGATTTCACCCATGAGCACTCGCTTCTCATCCATCACTATCGACTGCCTGACTGACTGGCCTTCCTGGATCTGAACAGCAAAGTCCTGTTCTGCTGCCTCTAGAACGACACTACTCTCAGTGGAGATCTCCTTCTCCTCAATCTGGATTGGCTCAGTGGGAACTTTTGGTTCTACAGCCATTTGACAAGTGAATTTATCCACGGCTGTAAGACTCTGTGTGTGACCTTCCTCTAAGGCCTGACTTTCTGCCACACTGGTGACATGCATCACATTCCAGCGATCCTCCTTTTGCACCAAGGCCCGCTGCTGCTTGACATCAGTTGTAACTGGCGTCTCTTTTGGCAGCTGCATAGGCTGGTAGGAGAGCTGGAGGATGTTTTGAGGCCTGGGCTCAGTTCGAGGGTGAGACTGAACTCCAGTCACAGACAAATCCAACTCTGTGTGGTAATCTGCTGTGAGCTCCCTTCTCTCCTCGGAGATGGCTGCATGGCTCCTTGTCTTTTCTTGTTTCAGTGTTGCCACCTGCTGGTCGGGCTTCTCAATTAAGAGAATACCCTCTTTGGGTAGCGTCTCCACAGGTTGGGTTGACTGGAGATGCAGAAGAGTAAGGGCCTCTTTCTGGGGCTGAATGGCCACGGTGCTAGCCTTGGACTCAAACTCTGATGTGTCCTCACAAACTACTGTCCTCTGCTCATCCTGGCTAACAGTGTGAAGCAGAGTGGGACTCTTCCGAGTTCCTGCCTGCTCTGGTGCTGGTTTCTCACAGGTGAAGCTACTCTCAGATGGAAGTAAATCCTGGTCTGTGATAACCTGCAGGTGCAACACCTGCTCCCCTTCTACTTGTGACTGAATGGACATGGCACTGTCCAGACTTGGCAGCTGCTGAGTAGGCTCAGCCTGCAGCATTTGCTTCTCTTCAGCCATTAGCGCTGCCTTCATCATTTTATCCTTAGAGAGATGGGCTATTTCCTCAGCAGGCCTTTGCATGGAGAACTTAGTCTCCTTGGAAAGAGTCTGTTTGGACTCACTGACTGAGGCCAAGATGGGTTTGTGCTGTTCTTTTCCAATGGAAGACTTCACAGCAGAATCTGCTGTTGCTAGTTCAGTTGTGTGGTCCTCTGCAAGCACACGTTTTTCTGCAGACTGGGCTGAGTATAAAATCTTAACACCTTCCTTAACCTTGTAACCCTTCTCCTCCTGTGGTTTGGGGATGTCCTGAGACTGCTCTTTCAGGATGGACAGTTGTGACTCGACCTGATGCCCACTGACGAGATGTTTAGATTCTGAAGTGGGTCTGACCGTAGCAGACTTTCTGTCAGCCAGAGCCTCTGTGCTAACACTAGAGAGTGGTGTGAACTCCTCAGCAACAGCTGACATCACCTTTGACCTCTTTTCTCTAGCCACCTGAAGCTCAATGACCTCAGGGCTTTGAATGCGATCACAGTGCTGTTCTGTGAGGTCTTGACTCTCTTCGACAGACGATGTAAACGCTGCCATATGGAGCTGTTTTGCAGGAACAGCTGAAACCTGAGGTGGATGGGTAGGAACCACTGACACTCTCTCCTCTATCTCATGAGACTGAAGCACTGCTGCCTGGTGGGTCAAATGCTCACGATGAACAGTTGCAGCAGAGATATCAAGGTCTCTAAGGGAGCCCACTTGCTCACTGGGAATTATCTGCCGGTCCTCAGTGCCGATGGTATAAACCATCTGATCTGACCTAGCCCTGTCCTGGCCTGGGAGGCTGACCTGGTACAAGCGAGACTCGGTTGCCTGTTCTGTCATTGAAACCTTGTAGCCTTTCTTCTGAACCACTGTCATCTGCTCCTGTTTGTGGGAAACAGAGACTGATTCCCTAAACACAACAAGCTCAGCACCACAAGACGCCTCCCCAAATGGGTTGGAGGCCTTACATGTATACAAACCACTGTCTTCCTGTTTGACACTCTTCATATTGATGAAGCCAGATCCATCTGGGTTAGCTATAATGATACAGTTTCTACTGGGTTGGATCTGGAAAGCACCTTTGAACCACTTTACATCAGGGATTGGATCACCGTTGGCTTTGTAATTAAAATAAACCTCTCCTCCTTCTGAGCACCTCACAGGCTGGATCTGAACTGTGAAAGTAGGAGGCTGACCTGTGACCTTAAACATCTTCTCAACCCATTTCTCTGCCTGGCTAACATCAGGCTTTTTTACTTCAAGGTACGTGGTGCATGTTGTCTTGCCAAATCTGTTGGTGGCAATGCAAGAGTACTCACCCTCAACCTCAGATGTGACCTTGGTGATTACTAAAGTGTATTCCTCCCTCTCCTCTATTAGCTTATACATAGAGGAGGTCTTAAGTATTGTTCCATTGTGAGACCATTGAACAGTTGGCTTTGGAAAGCCGGACACTTTGACGGTAAACCTGGCTGTTTCCCCACTGGTTACAGCTGCTGGGGAGAGCTGGCTAAGGAATACTGGTTTTTCTTTCTTCTTCTCTAAAGTGGAAGAGTAATGTTTGGACTCTGGCTTGAATTCAAGTGTTTTTGTTTTCTGTGGTAACTGGACACCAGTGTAGTAGGTTTCCTCTTGTTCTTCGACAGTGGTGATGGTGGTGCTACAATGCTCTGTCAGGAAATATTGAGTAAGACTGATAACAATATCCACAAGACAAAACCTATGATATTAACAGTGAATTCATAAAAGTAGATATTAGGGCTGTCCTTCACGACAGAAATTCTTAGTCGACTAATGGTCATAGGATTATTTTCCAAACACTCATTAAGTTGAGTAAATGAGGAATTCTGATTAGTATTATTAGCCCTCTGCAGGTGATTGCGGCAAATCTTTTAGAATCTGGCACAAAGTAAAAACCTTTTACAGTTAATTCAAATGACAAACAGTTCATTTCTAATCCACATTACAGGAAAAAATACACATTACATTACAAACATCCTAATTACCTGTTTATCGACTAAGTGATTTAAAAAGGACAGCCCTACTATATACTAAAATATGTGACAAAAATATTAACATATTATCAGTGACGTAATATTTTTAACAGTGAATTGATTTATGTAAAAAACATTTTTTGCTAAAAATCAAGAGAATGACCTAAACATGGACAAAGAGAAGAAGAGTGTTTTCCCCCAAACGAATAGATGATTCTCTGATCTTTTCACAGCTGAATAAAGTGATTTATTTCTCTGGTTATTTGTTTCCATTTTTTGTGATATCATATTCAGAATCAGAAAGGTTGGTGTTATTTCTCTTTTAATTCCTAAGTTTTGCTTTTAGTTTTCTTCAGTTACTTATGGATTTTATTATATTATAATTATTAAACCTAAATAGACCAAATAACCATTTGAATCTCATACAGAAGTAAACAAATAGTCACGATATTCTCATATGCTGATAACATGAACATGTGAAATAGATGGGATGCACATTGACGTCACACATCATGTACATCCCATCTATTACAGTTAAGCTTTTAAGGTGAAAAATGACCAAGGAGTATTGTTCAGTATCCGTCCCAAATCAGGAAATGTATTGGCACCGATATTAAAAATGTTCAAGTGATTCCAGGTTTTACACAATGTAGGTAATTTTAGACGCGTATTTTATCCTATTAATTTGACAATCGACAAATGGAATTGTTTAAAAAAATAAATAAATAAATAAAAAAATCAAGCTCAGACTTCAACTTTAGATGATCAAATATTTTATTATATAAACTCTGAGACAAACCAACATGATGTCTGTACAAATAAACCAACTCAATGCTGATTTCTTTTGGCTTATTTTACTGATAACCACTACTCATACACCCCTAAAATTACACATATTTACAAGACATCAAAACTTATATTTAAATTTTAAAAAAGTTTCACAGTATTATCCATTTTTAAAATTATTCATCAATCAACTTACTCTACTATGAATTACCAACGTCTTTTAAGATCCTAAAAATATCTTTCACAAGCAGCAAAAACTCTGACACAAACACAAAAAACCAAAACAAAATACGGCCACAACATTGCACACAAACAAGTGAATCATTTCAAGTAAGCAATATGACAATATATTCTTGATAGTTTCCAGATTTTTGATAGGATCACTGTTAAAAATATAAATTTTTTAATTATAAGGACTGAGACTATTTTTCATATTGATGAGAAAAAAAAATGATAAGTGAAATACATACTACTTTTAAGATCTATTTTTTATTATTATTCAAACACTGCAGTGACTGAAACTTTAGTTTCGCTCATCACCCATGTGACATTACTAATACATTTTTGGTTGCTATTTTTTCAGTTTAGGTTTAGATGGGTTATTTCACATCTACTTATCATACGTAAGAACTGAACTGTTAAAACACATGCAACATTTTATGATAAGTTTGTCCTGAATTATTGATTCCTTTAACTCCAGTCCCAGTCCAAATAATTATGTGTGGTGAATGACTTTGATTGAATTCTTGTATTTCACGTTCAATACAAATTAATTTTTTAGTTACCTCTCAGTGAAATCATTACCTTGGCTTTGCAGCTTCACACAAACACTTACTGTCACTACTTCAACAAAAAATTGTCAATGATATGTATTTCGCCAAATGTTTGGCGTATATGAGATGTTTGCTTCACACATACCTAATATTCCGAGTTGGTGGTGCAAACTGATGTGAACACCGCAATGTTAAAAACGGACTGGTAAAATTTTTCTTTAAGCGCACAACTTTGGATAAAACACAACAGATGCAGCAAACATAAATATATTTTTTTCTACCAAAACTTAAAATAAAACTGTTGAGTTTTAAATGAACAATTTACCAGCACACTGACCTGCTGACAGTATTCAACCGTTTTATTTTTTTCTAGATGATATTTTCATCACTGACAAACTTACGATGAACATGTACACACCTACATTCACCTACATTACTCAAGGCTGGTTGCCCAAAGATAACGTAATCTTTCCTACTGAGTCTGGCCAGTCTTAGCTAACATGGGTTAGACAAACAAAAATAATAACTGACTAATTCAATCCGAAAGAGTTCGAAGATAACCTGGGGGCTGAGTGGCTAACTAAAAGTTGTGTTTTAGTGGCAGCACTAAACCACACCAAACTGAGAAGATGAGGAAAACTTAATGTTTTCAGACAGCTCATAAATGTGACAACATTTTCTATTTATTTTAGGTTTTTGCTTCACTCATCTAGGTTTCCCAGTAAAGCAGTTAAAGCTTGTAGACGTTGCTTGGTCAGCCATGTTACTTTCAAATTCTTAAGAGACTTGAAATTGGATAGTAAGTTTATCTTTGAGCAACCAGCCCCAGACCTTCAACCCCTAAAACACCTTCAGCAGCGCTGTAGTTTCAACGCACCCGGCTGTGTTTTGGATTATGCACTTGTACTCGCCAGCATCACTCTGGGTCACATTAGTAATGAGCAGATTGAAATGGCCTGTGGTTTTCTCCTGGATTATACACCTGCTGTCTGCGACACGATCTCCATCTTTGTACCACTCTGCGGTGGGGTTTGGCTTACCACTAACCAGACACTGGAGGATAACAGGTGTCCCTACTGCTGCTGTGACGTTGGTCAGTGGGATGACACATTTAGGGGCTGTCTCAGTCACCTGGAACTGGAAGCTACACATATCAGAGGACTTCCCTTTGAACTCTACCTTGTCATCTTTTGCTGGTTCAGCAAACACATCAAAATTGATGCTTACATATTTCTCTCCCTGTTCACTCATTTCGTTGTCAGTGTTGGCCACCAGCCTGACTGCTCGCTGCGACTCATCTGCTTCTTGCTCAAACTCAAACTCAAGCTCAATTTCTGACACCTGTTCACCATCAAACGACGTGTTGCCAACCATCAAGTCGAATTTCTGTGGTTGAACTTTGGCACTTCCAAGAGACACAGCGGTCAACTCCCTGCCTCTAGTCTTCCCTGAGAAAGTCTTGGCACTTAACACCACCAGGGAGGCCCTACATAGAGTCTCCCCAACAACGTTAATAGCTCTGCAGGTATACACTCCGCTATCCTGTGTTGACACTTTACAGATCTTCAGGAAGTGGTTGTCTCCATCGGATGAGTGCAAGTATTTCTTGTTATTGTGAGGAACTTTTTTGTCACCTTTGAACCAGGACACAATGGGAGATGGAATTCCCATCAGTGAGCACTCAAACATGACTGTGGTTCCCTCTGGGGCCTCCATGTCACAGATGGGATTAATGAACCTTGGAGGCATCTCAGTGACCTCAAAAGCTATTTTCAACTCATCATGCTCCTGGGTGACAAAGTCCACAGCACCCTCCTCATAAATGCTCGGTAACACATCCAAAGATATGATCATGCTCTTGTTGTCAGCTGTGTACTCAGGAATGGTGATGATCTTCACCTGTTTCTCAAATTCTTTCACCTCGTTTTCATCTAATTCTACTTCAAGCAGAATCTCCTGAGGGGATGGAGAGCGAGAAGAATCATCTTCCTCCACATCAAACTCCATCACATGCTGGTGAGTGACAGCAGGTGGGGCAGGCATGAACCTCACTTCCTGTGATACAACTACCACTAATGCAACACTTCTGGCTTCCCCAACATAGTTCACAGCCTCGCATATATACTCTCCCTGGTCTGCTTTAGTGACATTGTGAATTGTAAGTGAGATGGTGTCGCCATCTCTCTCCATTTTAACTCTGTCATCTGCCACCAGTTGGGTTTTGTTGCAGAACCACTTCACATCAGGGGAAGGTAGGCCAAACACCTCAGCACAGAACGTTAGTGAGTCATTTTCAAAGACTCTCTTCTTAATGAGAGGTTTGAGGAAGGCGGGAGGAATTCCCTGCACTTTCTCCTGTAGGCCTGTAGACCCTCTACCCCTGGTGAGGAATTGATTCTCGTCCACATTTATTCCAAGAGGTGTCGTTTCAATGCCCTCATCAGCAGGAGATGTCAGGAATTGAAGGGGTGAGAAGAACCTCTCGCTGGAGATTCCTGTCGAGGGTCTCTGGTGTTCTACAGGGGAGAAGGGATACTCTTGAGGAGTCATAAACCCACCTGGTGCATCAGAACTGGGAGTATGGAAAGACATGGGAGACTTGGGAGTGTGGAAGGACTCTGCAATTGGCTGTGAGACCTCAGTAGACGAGCCTGGGGTGTAGAACCTCTCAGCTACTTCAGCTATCTCTTCGCTCAAAGTGCTGCCAATCTCTATGGACATCTCAGACTCAGGGGACAGTGGCCTTCCCCAGTCAGTTGGAGGGTTGTAGTAGTCGTAAACAGCACTGAAAGTTACCTCCTCTTCCTCCATGGGGCTAACTGCTGCTGCTGCTCCCCCAGCTTCAGCTGCTGAGGCCCTGTCTGAACTACATCTTTCCTGTCCCTGGACAACAGCATCCACAGGCAGACTGAGTGGTTTAATTCTTCCAACCATGTCTACTTTAGGCTTGACAATAAGCGGTTTATGTTCTGCCTTCACATGGCCATCTTCACCCATGATTTGTGTATGAGGGTCAACTACGTCATCAGCCACCATTCCCTCTGCCACTTTTGTTACATTGGCCTGGGTGTCCGGCATACTGAGGAAGACGCCGCTGTCCAAAGAGGGCTCTGGAAT